ATGATAGATACTTTGCTAAAAAATATTAAAAATTAAATATATTAGATAGGACCTCATTCCAAAAACGCGTAGAGAGAGCATATAGTTCTTAAAACGCCTAGAGGTGAAGGTGTCATATTGGAAAGAGAGTACCTCAATTTTAATGGTAGCTTAAGTGGTAACAGAGAGATGAGTTATAAATTCAGACATTTTGAGTTTAAATCTTTGTAATTTCTTGAGGTCAAGTCATGAGAGATAAATTCCTCACGAATACCCTAGTCCCGGAATGGATGACTTATTTTTGACTAAACTAGGAAAAGGATTAGTCGAGGTACGCTTAAACTGATCCAAATATATTTGACCATTGAACTAAAAAAAAAAGAGTTCCTCACTTGCGCCTCACTCTAAACCTCACATTTTCTATTCATTTGAAAAGGCACAATTTAACCCATAAAGGGTAATCCAGTGGTAAAGGGTTGAACTTGGACGAGTAGACTCAGACGTCAGCATTTAATTTTCTATAATGTCTTTCAAGTTTAAGTACTTGTAATTTGTATGTGGTCGTAGACATTTCGAATTTACTCTCATAATGATGAGTTTAAAGTAACCCGCCTTGTAGAGATTAAAAAAAAAAAGCACATTTTTTTTCCTATGAGAGATTAAAAATTATCATTTGTCATTATTAATGTCATTATCCAAGAATACCTACCCAGTTTAAGCATTACTCAGTTGCTGTCCTTTGTCCCATAACAACGTTAACACTACCCTTGATCATGCCTGGAGTAAAATAGTAATTGTTCACGGAAACATATGTCCCTGACCCCAATAGAAAAAGTCTTGACCTATATGGATTTTTTGAATAAATATCAACACTCGTGACTCGTGACAGTGTATATTACCTAAAAACATATTACACATTCTCAATTAATTAATTATGTCTAATAAATTAGTATTATAAAAAAAATTTATTCGGTGTGAACATCAAATGACACTGTCATGTGATACCCTATAAATACTAAATATTTTCTTCGAGTTTTAGGGTCCGATTGTTTTCGTAAAAAATAACTTTTCAATATCGTACATTCACTTTTTATCTAATAAAATTTTAATACGTATAAAATTTTATTCTTTTATTTTTACAACTACAAATCAATCAAAGTCAAAATTAATGACTCTTGATAAGTTTCGATATAGTATTCGCAATTTTTTTGTGGGTACTTACTCATACATAGGATTTAATACAAGACGCAAAATAAGAAACTTGATCCACCGAACTATTAAAGGAAAAATTATATAGAATTTATGTGGATGGCTGATTTATTTGGCTATTTGATCAGCACCATAAATAACTGGAGGAGGTACCGGGGAGATAAAGAAAGATGCACATGAAGAGAAAGCAGCCAAAAGGAATCTGGCAATGGTTACCCATGAAACAGAAGAACATATCAGGCTATTTTGGCAGGACTGTCGTCCTCGATTGATGAAGATGTGGTCTTTAGAGAAAGGTTGAAGATGTGGTTGTGGAGTACTGGATTAGGACGTGATCTATTCTAGTATATTCTAGGTTTGAGTACAAACAAAATATGATATGAATTATATAATGCCACCAAGCAATCATGGGTTCGGAGTGCTACGATCACGCCCAATTAAGGATTTTAGCTCGGTTGTCCTCTCAAACCCTTTTATTCTATTTTTTTGAAAAAAATAAATTCTAGTAAGAGAGGAGAAATTGAGAAGCAATCAATCCATCGATATATAGTTCATGTTGAACACCATCTACTTTAAAGGGTAACTTAAGTATTTATATTTTAACATGTCTCCTCACATGTAAACTATATGAACGTATCACGTCTCCTCACATTTAATAATTAGTGTAGCGGCCAAATTTGAACTTAACATAGGATCTTATGATCTGATACCATATAACTACTCTTAAAACTTATTCTAAAAGTTTAAACTTTCAAAATAATTGATTATTTAACAGTTGAAATAGGAAGATCTTAGGTATTATATTGTAACCATATATCTAAGGATGACATAAATAAAAAGACCATCGGTTATAGAGAGAGAAATTCAGAAGCAATGATCTGCATTCCGACCATTGAATTGATATTAAAGTGTATTGAATGATGGGACTCATTGGCAATTCAATGACCATAATCATAAGTTTTCAAATTATGTCCTCAAATTATGTTCCAATAATATTACCCGTCCACACAATACAGATATATGTTCGAAAGGGAACCTAGAGCCATCAGGTGTAGGAGGCAAGCAACCAAAGTGCTGATACCCTTGCGAAGCTGGGAGTAGTACGACAGTCAAAGTCTCTTGTGGAGCTACAAGAGCCCCCACCTCAAGTTGTATACTGCCTTTAAGGCAGATATTGCTAGCACTTATTTTACTATAGAACTCTGTTTAGCCTATTTAACATTTTCAATGTACCAGAAAAAAAAAAAAAAAGATCACTCTCTGCTAGGTAAAAGAACCTGCGATGGGTCTTCACGCTCCAACTAATCTGTTGTGACCTATTCTATATCATTAATGACCAGAAAATTGTGATCATCTTAAATTATTATTTGGCTATGCTATAGGACTCACTCCCACTAGCCACTGACATGGCTAAAATTCAGAGTTTCCATGGAGTCATGTTTTGACACTAGCAAGCACGAGTGAGCAAAATGCTCTGCACCTCATTGCAGGCTCAGTTCAAAAAGAAATTTGAAGAGGCCTGCCATATGATTTCACTTTCTTTATAAAGGTGGGACCAAAGGACAGAAGCCCAGCCCGTGGCTCAGCCTTTTAGCGAACCCAAAAGGACCCACTACCCCATACTGATGCACCTTCCTGCACCGGCAACGCGTGCTTGCATGTCCCTCTCTCTCTCTCTCTCGGCTTCAATATTCTTTCTTTTAGCCAAATGTTTTGGCTTCAAATACAGTAGAACACTCATTTTTGTATTTGTTTGGATTTAACACATACACACACAGAAAGAGAAGTAGGAGGTCTTAAATTCGATATTCTTACGCTTTTTATAGATTAGTCATCCTTGTTTTTTGGAGAACATATTCTTAGTTCGAGTTACGATGGTCAGCTTAGAACTTAAAGAAATAATTGGTATCAATGGGCCTTTGGTTCAAAAAAAAAAAAAAAGTTATTGGTGTAAACTTGGGCACTCACAGCCAAAAATAAAAAAAGAGAGAGAGAGGGAGAAAAGCAGTTTTATCCGCAATGCATGCTCAAGCCTAACATGTGACCATCCTTTGTAGATAACTATGAGCAGACATGGATTTTATTGTTCTTGTACTTGCTCTCTTTTTTATATTTTCAACCTTTAGCTTATTTATATAAAATCTTTTGTTATGAGGGAACCACTATGGTAATGAAATGGTATTATACTAAAAGTTATAAGGTGAAATTACAACCTTTAGAATATTTAATTTATAACTCAATGAAATTACAACCTAAAAGTTATGATCAATTGCAGACTATTGAGATCAATCATAAAACAACTTTTAAATGTCAAGTTAGACTTCATTATGAATAATTTTAGTTTCTTCTTTGCTTGCACCTTATAATGATACATTTGGCTACGATACCCCAAAAAAAAATTGTGTTATTTCTACATCCGTGTCTCTTCATCATTCATGATCTTGCATCTCCCTCCTCCTATCTGTCTGTACAGTTAAAAAATAACAAAGATAGGCCAATTCATCTCTTCCCCAAAAAACAATTGAATACTTTGATCTACAGTTTTTTAAATTTATTTAGCATTTTTTGTTAATTAGTGGTCATGATTATGTGTTGGGCCTTCCACATTGGTGGTGAATAATCAAGTCAATGAAAGACTTGTCTTGAATTGTCCTTATTCCTTACACTTCTATATACAATGAACCAATCCTCTACACTTTACACTATTTAAGGTCCGATGGTGAGTCTTAACTTCAGGACTATCCCAAGGTATAAAGTCTATCGTACCCAAAAAATAATAGTGGGTATCCTAACGAAATTGATTAAGAGTTGTTAATTTTAGTTTGATGGATTTATAGCCGTTGATTGTAAAATGACACCTTGTATGAAATAGTGAAATAAAAAAGATATACAAATGTCAAATTTTATTGGATGAGTAATGGAAGTATGGTATTGGTATTGTAAGATTTCTTTTTGATGCCGTAGGCGGGCCCTCTACTCACTAAACGTACGGTGAAGATCAATTCATCAGCACGCCAGGTAATGCCACCTTACTCTTCCTCAAAGTGATGTATATATACAGCATATATATATATATATTACTGACCCAACTGGTGTTTGTTATATAGAATTTTTGGGTGCATGTGATTCGCTGATGATTGTCTGGACTGGAGTAGTGTAAGTAAGGCCTTGTGTTGTGATCCACAAGTATATATGAGTATTATAATATCAGAATTTAATATGTCTGCACTGCTGGATTTGTCTGAGGCATCTCTTTCACAAAACTTGAGTCACATTGGCTAAGGCACTGAGATTTGTTTGGCATGCCTCAAACCCCACAAGGCCTGTGATTTCTGTGTGAAAAAGAGAAATCTTTATTTCTTCTTCAGTTCAGTTCTTTTATTTTATCTTCGTTTCTTTCTTTCCTTTTTTCAAAGATAAGCAGTGTCGATGCCAATTTATATACGCTTTGATTAATTTTTCCTTCAGTCTGATCAAAAATAAGTCATTCATGTTAGAATTATAGTATTCATGAGAGATAAATCTCTCATGACCTAGTCCCAAAAAATTATTGAGATTCAAACTCAAAACGTCTAAGTTTACAACTCGCTCACATTATAATATGAGCTTCCCTAAGAATTTTATTTTATCTTTTGCAATATATATATACTAGGGGAATGTGTGAAAGGAGAAGGTGTTACTTTCTGTTTTCTTGCAACTTTGCTGTTTCCTTCGTCTTTTAACACACAGGTTGTGATCCATTCCAGTTCTCAGACTCTAACAGGTAAGAAAATTCTTTCTTTGTTTTCTACCTTTTTCATATGATGGTAGAGATGGTGAAGAGTTCAGAAAGAGAAATGAAGGTTTTTTTTGGTAAAAGCTTGTTTATTTTACCTACTCTCTCTGTGATACTCCCCCTATAGTAAAGATCGAATTCGTGTTTCGTAATGCTTTGTTATATGTCATAGTATCAAGAAGGAAGAGTATATACATGACTTCTGACAGTATAAGTTTGGGTCTGAGATACTCCTGACTTATTTCCCTGCTTATACCCAGTTGCCTTTAGCGTTGTCTCAGCTAAGTTCACGAGTTGGTGACAACCGGACTTGAACCGCTGGCATCCACCGCAGGGTAAACCACCCACTGCCTCTCAAGTCCCTGATTGATTCTATCGGAGAGGACAACGATGGATATAGCCCCTCAACTATATGATAAGTAAGCTTCTCCAGACCATACAATTGCGTATCGAGGACATGCGGAGGGTTTGGTTAAGATATGCCAGTAGACAAATGGAACAACAAAGGGTTTTTGTCTTTTTGAGGTTTGGATTCTATTCAGCCTGCAGCAACTAAAAAGTCCTAATGGTAAATTTTAGTTAATTTTCAAAATATTATTTCCATTTCTGAGTCGCTATGGAGAAATTATGAGTTTAATTCAGGTTATATTTTTTTATTTTTGGTTGGTGATCAACCTGCAGCAACTAAAAAATCCTACGGGTAGATTTTATTTTCTCAAATTAATGAAGTTCGGTTTTAGAGTATAAACAGAAAGAGTTAAACATTTTGTTTTCAGGGTTGTTGGGAATTGTTGATTTTAATGAACAGATTGCAAGAATGTGTCCCTACTTGGTACATATATACAGGAATGTTGTTCTAATAGAATCTTTCTATTATGATTACAGATCAATTATCAATTACCAATTACAAGTGCATCCTTTGTTTCTGAATCTTGGTCATCTTTTGTTGTTTTGTAGCCAAGAGGTGTCGGTGGAGGATATTACTTGACATGCATGCAACCAAAATGCAGTGGTTTCGTATGTGTTATATCATTTGGATCGAGCNGGAGGATATTACTTGACATGCATGCAACCAAAATGCAGTGGTTTCGTATGTGTTATATCATTTGGATCGAGCGAGAACTTATAAGAAAAGTCCTCATTTCCTTTTGAGAGAACTGAAAAAAAAAAAACAAGACCGCAAATGTTCTTGGATGAGTAGTTGAATAGGGAGAGAGGTTTTGCATTCAATTCTCAAATTCCAGCTTCAAGTGCTGCCATATTCTGGAAAATAAGGCGTGGAGAAACGACAACAATTCTGTCTAGTAACTTCAAAAACATCATTTCAATCTACAAACGAAGCAGAAACTCCTAGAAAGGACTCTGAAGTTTTTAGTATCTGGGTTTATTCTTTAGGTTGGAACTAATTGCACAAGAGCGCAGAAGGTGATCTCTAAGGTTTCAATGGACAAGCTTCTTAAGCCGTACGATAAGGAATACATGAAGATGGCCATGTTACAGCACGAAGAAACGTTCAGAGAGCAGGTATGCATTTTTCTTCATTTTTTTTCCCATTTAATTAGTGATTTCAACACACAATCATCCACAAATCACTCGAACTGATTAGACTAAAATTTAATGTGATTCCAACACTTACAAATTTACACTTTATTCTCTTATTTCTTGTTCAACGGTGAGCAGTGTTCTGGTTAGATTCCGACTAATTCCCTCCCCAATCCCGTCAAAAGCAATTCATTCACGTCGAGACAAAGATATTTATGAGGGATAAATTTCATACGATTTGGCNCCTCCCCAATCCCGTCAAAAGCAATTCATTCACGTCGAGACAAAGATATTTATGAGGAATAAATTTCATACGGTCTGATTCCAAAAAATTGTCAAAATTCGAATTCAAAACATTTGAATTTATGAGTAAATTATTCAACCACCAAACCAATCCGACAGGGTTATCTTTTCTCGCAGCAATGGTTTTAAGTTTTTGACCAATATTTGCAGGTGTACGAACTTCATCGTCTATATCGAATCCAGAAAATGCTTATGAAAAACATTGCGACGATTGATTATCATCATGATAGGCATCAAAAGCCTCAACAGATTAAGCTTGACTTGGAACTGCCTGCTGATCATGAAGATGTGGAATCAGACGGTGATGGATTGTTAGAGATGGAAGATGAAAGTGACATCCAGCTAACATTGGGCCCCACGAGTTACAATCGAAGGAATAGGAAAACTGATGAGACACCATTAAATTCAGATTCTGGGCTCAGTTTTTCTTCTTCATCATCTGGATCCAATTATATAAAGAGGACAAGTTTAGGGACACATCAAAGGAGAGAGACAAATACAATCAGAGAAGAAGAATCATTTAGACACAAATGGGGGAAGGGAAGAAAAAACGGTTCTGATGTTGAAGAGCAACTTGGACAAGATAGAGTAAATCAACATCCTTGGATTTTCCAAGTTTTTAGTTTGAAAATGACATAGAAATATCTTCAGACTGGGTATGCTGAATCTTACAACGCCTCTCCAATGACCTTTATTGGCGTGTATTGAATTTCATATTGGGTATATATGTAAGAGCAATGACGATAACTCCTTGACTAGCGCTTTTGAGTGAATATCTATGGTTGCACTACTTTCTTTAACTGATTTCGTAGCATAATTTTATGAGTAATGTTATCTTAATATAAAAAATTAACATAATTTGTAAACATAATGATGTATCAAGTAGTAGAATTTTAANTATGAGTAATGTTATCTTAATATAAAAAATTAACATAATTTGTAAACATAATGATGTGTGAAGTAATAGAATTTTAACCCCAAGCAATTAGCTCAAGTGGTAGTCGGTCACTTAACAGATGCCTTAAGTTGGCATTAGGCATTGGTCAAATATTCAATACTCACAAGGTAAAAATGCTCTTTGGGCCACCTTCCCTAGATTTAACTCCCTCCTGGAGAGAAGACTTTGCGTGTGGGCGTAGGTCAATTACCAGCCACGGGTTCAAATAAGCTGGGTTGGTGGAGGGTTACTAAGGATCTGTTTGTTTAACCGGATAATGATAAAAAATACAAAAAAGAGAAAATTTTAAAAAATTTCATGTGTTTAGTTAACATGAAATAAAAAATTTCAGAAGTTTATAGTATGTGGGTTCTAAGAGTTACGATCACAACAACATAATTAAATCAAGGGGTTTTTGGAAGTCGGTATACCTAATTAGACTTATTTGACAAAAAGTACATATTAAAAAATATTTTGAAAAAAGGTACACTAATTAGATACAAAGACATAAATGTCCATTTTAGGAAAAATGGTGCATTAAATATCTCTTAATTTTATGAGAGAACTTTAATATTTAATACACATTGATTCATGTATATATATATAACAAGTATATATAAATACATATAAACAAGTATATATAAATACGTATATATATTTATATTTATACTTGTGTGTGTGTGTGTGTATATATATATATATATATTTATTTATTTATTTATGTATATTATATACGTATATATAAATATGTATATACATATATAAATACATATATATATATAAGTACATATACAAGTCTGTATATACGTGTAAAGTGTAACATTGAAAGTATAAAATGTAAAGTATTACATTATGTCTCACCTTACTTAATAAAAAGTGTGAAATGTTATATGTTAACATTGAAAGTGTAACACTTTCACATTTTCTCAATTAATTAGCATTTTTAGTGTAAGATGAGACATGTACATTCTGTTTTTGTAACATTTTAGGTAATGTCTCCCCTGACCTTATGTAAATAGTTTGTTACATTGTTATTGCTACACTGTTATTGTTACTTTCAATATTACCCTATAACATTTTACACTTTCCATTAAGAAAAGTGAGACATAAGATAATACTTTACACTTTACACTTTCAATGTTACACTTTACACGTATATATATTTATATTTATACGTATGTACATACTTGTATACATATAAATACAAATATATATATATATATATATATACAAATACGTATATATGTATTTATTAATATATGATGGTGTATACCAACGTGGAAGAGCTTAAGATGAAAGTAATGTGAGGTGAGCGTGGATCAGAACTAAAAGGCTCGTATATGATGCTAACTGATAAAATATTCAGGGAATTAACGGGGTGCACATAGTAAAAATATAGTGGTTCACCGGCTCAAGAGCTCGGCTAGTCCACTCTTCAATGGAGGTTCTTGCTCCTTCTATTTTATTCACTATGATTACAAAGTTGCTATGACTTTCTCTTGCCACTAGGGTCCTCCCTATGTTTGGAGGTGTTACAGTGCATTTATAGGGTCATTCCCTGCTAAGTGGGATCCTGGCCGAGATTCTTGTCCTTACTTTGTGGGATTCTCCCTAATTCTAGGAGAAAATCTTGGTTAGTTGAGATTAGGTATCTTGATTATAGCTTCCTAACGCTTTTAGGAACCTCTCGTGATCTTCCAGTTGTTGCCTTGGTTGTTATTGTCCCTGCTTATCTCGAAGGGACCTCCAACTCTACTCTTTCGAGTTCTGTTCGTCTAATCTGACCTCCTAGGCTGAGCTGAGCTGGCATTTGAGGTTTATTTTGAGGTATCATCAGTTGCCCCCCCCCCCCCCCCCCCC